TAGATGATCTTCTCAGGTCTCTTCTGACCCTAGAAACTATGAAATTATAGGAATTATGAATCATACCCTCCATTTTTAAAGTTCTATAAGATCTGTGGCTGACAACTGTTGTATAAATGATAAAGGGTGATGATGATGATGCAAAGTATGACACCTTAGGTTAAGCCAAATTTGTCCAAAATATAATCTCAAAACATTCCCAGCATTTTTAAGTGTAAATGTAACACACAACTATAGCTGACGTAAATCAGCTTAGCTTGACTGGAGTCATTACAGATGCCTGAATCCAAGATTCTTGACTGGCGTAAATTCAGGCATCTCTAATGAGTACAATCAAGCTAAGCTGATTTACATCAGCTACAGTTTTGTGTTACATTATATTGATATGTGTTTTGTGTTATATATATTGTTACTGTTACATCAGCTAGTTTTGTGTTACATTATATTGATATGTAGTTTATATTTAATGGAAAAGAGCATTAGGTAAGTTAAAAAAAGACTTCCCAGATCCTGGTTTTCCATTCAGTTCCTTGCAACTAAAACCCCTCAAAGATACTTACACAGCTACACTGTTTATATAGTGACGAAGCTGCTAGAGGAAATGATGCCATGTTGATAGGAAAGCAATATTTAATCTGGGTGATCTAAAGTGTAGTTTCCATAAACAGTGAACAAGAGGTGTCCTTTGCATTTTAAACTTTTACATTTCAGGAATTGTTTGCTATCAAAACATTTCTGTTTACAGTTTCAGTTTAACAGCTAAGTTACTTCCAGGCATGCAAGTTCATATCTTAAAACTGTTCTTAGCATTTGTACACATATTTCAAAGGGTTTTCTGGGTAATGAGAAAACAACTACAGTTTGTGTACTAGTAGAGGCATGCTTGCAAACCTGAAGCCTACCAGGTGGAAAGAGGTGTCAACTTTTTCAAGGGTGTTCAGCTCTGAGAAAGAACTGCTTTTGGGTTTGGAGACAGCATGCAATGTAACTAGGGAGGCAGGTAAAAAGAGCACCAGCCCCAAGCACCAGCTTGGAGGAAGTGTCAGAATGAAGCCCCTCTCCCTCAGAGCCTTTGCTGCATCTGGAACAGCCCTATGCCCCCTTCCCTGTGGCCATAGGAGATGAGCTGGAGAAACCCTGTGCTGCTTGACTGAAGGAGGCGGGTACTGGGACGCAGCAGAAGCAGACTTTTTTTGCCCAGTCGTAGAAGCCAAGCACGAGCAGTCCTGTGCTACCTGGCCATTGGAACCAGGTGCAGGGACAAAGCAGGAGCAGTGTGGGGGGCAGTCTTTGAGTCCCCAGGACAGGTTAGACCTTCCTTATGGCTGGGTGGCACAAGGCTGCTCCAGTCCAGCTTTTAAGGCCAGGCAGTGCAGAGCTATTCCAGATGCAACACAGGAATGCTCTCCACCACTACCCCACCCTCCATAATTTTGCCCAGGGCACCAAAATTCATAGCAACACCTCTGCTCTTGTTAACATCTGACCAAAGTACTTCTCACAGAAATAGTCCCATATAAATGAATGGAACTGCATTCCAGCCAGTGGATAAAAAAAATCATCTTCAGTGCTAAATCTTGGCAACGGCAGCTGAAGCTACCCGTACCAGCGTTCTGTCAATCTCTTTCACACTTCGACACCCTGGTGGAAAAACAAAAAATGTAACACAGTTTTAGGGAATGTAGAATAACAGTTTGCATTTTTCCAGTCCCAATTTTCTCATAAAGGTGGGCATGGGTTACTGAGAGGAAGACATTGTTTTCATAGTAAAGGCGTGGAACTAGTACTCAGGAGAATAGCATTCAATTTCTGGCTCTGTCACAGACTTTTCACGTAACCACAGGCAAATCCTCTTTGTAGCCTTTGATTCTAGAACACTGTGGCAGAGGGTCATCCCAAGGCCAGTTACAGTACTAGCCCACCCACCTGTCTAGGGCAGTCCGTTCTGATTTGCCTACCATGCTTTGTAATAATACCTGATGTAAAATACAAGAGGCTGCCCATTAAAATACTCTCATGCCTAGAGCATTATACACGGCTCCAACCTCCCCTTTACTGTGTCCCATGCGTCGCAGATGGCATCCAAAATCACTATCACTGTTACTCCCCTGGCCCCATTGCTAGACCACACTTGGCCTCTGGCCCAAACTTGGCCTCAGATGTCCAGAGACTTAACTTGGCCACTTGCCCCCTCACTGGGGCCTCTACTCACACATGTACCCTGGGCTCTACGCCTTTCATTAGGCTTCTAGCCCCTTACATTCTACCCCCTTATGCCCCTTAGGGCTCAGGCGTCTGTCAACATACCTGGACATCACTCTCCTTCCAGCCTCTCACTAGGCCTTGCTTGTTCAGGCCTTGGGCCTCAGGCCTCCATGTTGTTGCCCAAACCTGTTGCTTTTCTCTCAGGGTGTGCTCCCTTAGCCTTTCCAATCCATAGG